AATAAATATGGTCAATATTATAAGAACCATCAATTAATTATCCATTCATTTGATCACAAGATCATCTTTGACTTGTTTAGTTTCTATTTCAGTAACAACTTATAAATAAGAGCCAAGAGATGTTCTGAATTTTGTGTTGCAATGTTTTCAAATTCAGTCAAATCTGAGTATTCTGCATTGTTTATGTAATACCTTTTGAGCTATACTGATTATCTGAAAAATACTGAACTCAGTGAAGCATTTGACCACTTTGAGGAGACAGTATCAAAGAATTCATCCTTCTTTCAAGGACTAAATCTTGCAAATGTATCTCAAAAGGTATCTCTATGCAAATTAAATTGTTTTATGCATTCACTTCATAGAAATATTTAATACGGTGCAAGAAGTGGTAGACCTGGACTTACTTTTTCTTTTTAGTCCTTTAATTTTAGTACACACTTTATAACTGATCTTTTATAGGTAGCACCTTTCTTTTATACCCAACCAAATACATTTTTACAAAACTTCTGGAATCTAGCTGCTTCAATAGAAGCAATCTAATCAGAAAATGTTATAATCCAATATATGATCCAAATTAACCAAATAAAACTGATTATTTGTCTTTGCCACTTGTGTAACGCTTTCTTTTCATTTTTTGAAAGTGATTTGAAATTAATCCTCACTAAAACATTCATTTTTCTTCTTAATCACAAGTTTAGCTTTTTCCGTCTTAAATTATCTGCCATTATTTTGATCCAAATCCACCAGCTTTAAAAATCTTTATTATATTTTATCAAGTAAAATACTTAAGTACTTAGCTAATACATATGGTAGTAAATCAGCTAATTGCTACAGATTTTGCTTTTCTTCTTCAGACAGATCTTATGTGATCATTTGCATCCTCTTCTTATTAGCAACAGCAATAGCACTTAGACTTATATACTGCTTTATAGTGCTCTATAGCTCTCTCAAAGCAGTTTACAGAGTCAGCATATTTTCCCCAATAATTTGGCTCCTCATTTTACCCACCCCGGAAGGATGGAAGGATGGAAAGCTGAGTCAACCTTGAGCCTGATGGGATTCGATCTGTCAAATTGCAGTAGGAGTAGCTTGCAGTACTGCAGTCTAACCACTGCGCCACTGAGGCTCATATTGAAATGTTCTATTGTACAGGTTCCATGATTAATTAATTAATTAATTAATTCCATTTTTGGTGTTTGTAATGCATGTACCAAAGGGGTGGGTGGTGGTGTTTCAATGCAATGCTATGATTGTTTTGTTACATATTTTGATCTCCCTGCTGCAGGTACTACTGGATGCACAGGATGTTGCTTTAAGGAACCACTCTTTAAACCAGGGGTCCCCAAACTTGGCAACTTTAAGACTTGTGGACTTCATCTCTCAGAATTCTCCAGCCAGCTACGCAAGTTGAAGTCCACAACTCTTAAAGTTGCCAAGTTTGGAGACCTCTGCTTTAAACCTAGAGTTTGGTCCCTTTAGCGACACTTCAAAAGCTTCTGTCAAATCATAATGTTTAAATACGACAATAAAGAAAATATGAAATACATGAAGAATAATCTATATGTCATCCTCATGTATTTACTTTTACACCAGGCTTTCCTATTTCCCCAGTCTGGCTTTTTCTTCTTGTTGGAAGCCCTCATGAAGCACAGTACACAGAGGCCCGTAGAGTTCTCTGCCTCAAAAGACTTATGATCTTGTTGCAGGCACCATTTTCATATGCTGACATATCCAGGTCAAGTATCCATCTGTTATTTAGCAAGCTCATTTTGGTTCCTAAGCCTTGCTTGGGATATATTTAGGCCTGAGTGGCAAATTTAAAACCTACCCACTCTTCTCATGTGATGAATTATTCTATTCATGAGTCCTACATTCTAACTATCCTCTGTATGCAACTCCATTCAGGCAGGAAGATTCTGTGGCCAAAGGCAGAATCTGAAGGGAGTCACATTTAGGAACAAAAGCACCTGTTGTTTTCCATCACTAATGTTCTTAAAAGTACAAGTTTGGACTGTTCCTCTCTAAATATGGCTATCTCAAAACTACGCTACATGTTGAAGAGAGGATCAGCATTAAGAGCAATAAATTTAAGAAGCCCATTAAAAAGACATAATGAATTTGGTACACTACATATTTCTAGATCAAAGGTACCTTTGAAGTGACCAAACTCCAATCTGTGAACAACTGAAACTGATTCCTTTTTGTTCTGATCTTGCTTGGTGGTGTCCAATAAAATAGAAGTTAAGGAAATTGTCATTATCTGAATATGGTCAGAAGAAGTCATCAGTGAATGACAGCCTTGTCCCCAACAACAATTGGCAAAATCATTAGGAAGGCAAGGCCAAGTGATGCAAGGACTCCCCCCTCCCCCAGAGCTAATCTTGTCATTCAGCTGTTGTCACCCACAACTCCCATCCACTTGCTGTGTGAAACCAGCTTAGTCTTTGTCAGTGTTAACAGGGTTGGGAAAGACTTTCTCATTCATGAATATGTATCATCAGCCCACAAGTCTACAGAGACAAACCCCTCAAAACTGCAATTAAAAAAAAAAAAAACCACCCTTCACCAGCCAACCAGCCACTAAAATCCTAAGCTATTGGGTTGAGAGACCTGAAATGCTACAGAGTAATGTGAGCTCACGCTTTTGAAATTAACCAGAGGAACTCTCTGTTTTAAACCTTTCTTTAGAGCTTGATGAGGTTTGTGGAATATTTCTTCATGTGCAAATGTGTAAAACCTTCACAGTCTCTCAGGGGAAAAGAAACAATCACACATTTTAGGGATCTAGTCCCTTTTATGTATTTCAAATGGGTTTCCAGATGCACTGTGGAGGGGTCAAATATTTACATCTATGTCTAAAATGGACAGGGCCTTAGTTTTAAAGTGGGAAGACACAAACTTCAACATTTCTGCAAAACAAATCTGGGTAATTTTTTTATGTGACAAAGACTCCTGACACATGTCTATCTGATCATGATCATGAAAGCATTATTTAAGTCAATATTTGATTTCAAAATATTTATTATGTTTTACATTCAAATATAAAGAAGTTGAAGTCTGTCAATAATGTTTTTGTATTTAATAAATAATATGATTTCAACCTAAATTTATGAGATTAATGTTTATATAAGGGACTTTTATAAGTGACACCAATATATTTCAAAAGCTTGCATTTTTTAAAATGCTGACTCCCTGCATTAAAAAAAGAAAAGAAAACAGGGATATAACAGTTACAAATGCAGCATTTCTCCAGAAGTAACACCACTTAAAATTTTTTCAATAAATAGGGAAAATAAAACTAAGTCTAACATATCTTGTCATACACAGATAAAATTTGGAGTACTATTTAGACCACTATATACTGTAATATGCTCCATTTTCAGCCTATAGAATGTGACAAATGGTTTCAGATGAAGTAAATAGTGTAATAAAATAAAGAAAATAATAAAGAAGTTATTGTATGGAGTATGTGAACGATTCAGGCAGAATGGGTATCCACAATCATTCATCACAAGATGTTTGTGCAACTCAGGAGGGGAGAGAAAGGAAAAAAAAACAAGGTACAAGATCAACCACATGGTACAGCCTGCCATACATTCAAAAACATTTCAGAAGCTATAGAACGTAGCTTCCAAGATCTGCAAGTGGGCATTGCACGCCACCCAGAGCCTATGATACGAAGACAAATTATGCATTGTAAAGATAGCTTGGAGGTGGAACATACTTCCAATGTAATCTATCAGATCCCCTGCCTGGATTGCCCCTGTGTCTCTGCAGGACAGATGGGGAGGAAGCTTATCATCAGTTTGCAAGAACACAAGCGAGTGGTCAGACAAGGAGACCCAAACCCATTGGTAGCCTCACACTGCGATGAACAAGGACATACATTTAATTTTGCAGCAACTAAGATTGTTGGATGAGCAGGCACAAAAACAACCAGTGAAGTGATTGAAGCCTGGGAAATGGGGAAACCCTCACCAGTCAACAGGAGTGCTGATTTACCATCAGCTTATCAAGTACTTAGGAGGCGTGTCAGCAGAAGCAAATAATAGCCAACAACTTAATAGTCAGCCATCAATACCCCAATCAACATCTAAAAAGCCGCATACAACAGGCACCATATAAATACCACACACAGAACAGCCCAAAGCATATACTTCCCTGAAGATGGGCTCCAGTAGGAGTCAAAAAGTTTGGAAGACAAAACCGCTGATCCCAGTGACCAACCCAGATTGGATCCTGAAACGAGTTATTGTTCTCTTTATATAGACATAAGTCTGTGAATAGGATACATTGAAATTATATTGTAGTCTTTAAAATCTTTGAAGCTTGCATCTGTATTCTTATATTTTTGCAAATAGGCCTGCTTGCTCTTCAACTTTGAAAATAATTTCCTTATCATACTAAAAATAATGCACCTACACATATGCAATGGTTTATATTGTGTTTAGTACTTCTTAAAGTGACTACTGTACATTATTCATGACATTTCCCCTTTACAAGCAGAACAACAGACAGGATGTAATTCTGTGACAGAGTAGCCACTTTAGATTCAGAAGATACACAGAAGACAATTCTGGTTATTCAATGGTGCTGGCTCCTGGTAACTTTCCAGATGAATCCAACCCCCCCAAACTAGTCTCTTCTACATGTTAGGGTGCAATTCCAGCTGTAACTCCAGCCAAGTGGGGATTGTATATCAGCTTTTGCATTCACAAAAGATATAAATTTAAAATAGATTTGAGTAGCAAATATTCAGAGCTCCGCTGGGTGACAGCAAAGGGAAACTGAAAATTCTAAATTTCTGCTGCCATCTACTGGTTTAGAATATGTAGTCCAGATGTAGTAATCTTAGCAACATGCTAAAATTTCTGTCCTAAGAATTTTCAAAGAAAGATGCTTTTCATGGTGAATCAATTCACCCTAAGAAGTATGTTATTATCAGTGGTGGGATTCAACATTTTTTACTACCAGTTCTGTGGCCATATTACTGGGTGGACCTGGCTTTTTTTGCAGCCACCCACCTGTTTTGGGGGCCTTCTGGGCCTCAGAGGAGCCTCTAGGGGGGCATTTTTGCTCCCAGAAGGCTCCTCTGGGGCACGGGAAGAAAAAAAATGAGAGCCTGGAGGGGGCACATAGCAACCCCTAGCTCTGTTTTGGGATCTCCCTTACCTCAGAAGAGCCTCTAGGGGGGCATTTTTGCTCCCAGAAGGCTCCTCTGGGGCACAGGAAGTAAACCAGAGCATGGGAGTGGCATGCAGCACCACTCCATGCTCCATTTTGGGACCTTCCTGGCCCCAGAAGAGCCTCTGGGAGGGTGTTTTTGCTCCTAGAAGGCTCCTCTGGGGCTCAGGAAGGCAAAAAATGGAGCGGGGACTGAGCCATTTTTTGCCTTCCTGAAGCAAAAAATGGCTCAGCCCCCAAGAGGAAACCTGGCACAGCTGATTGTATGAATAGCTGGTTGTTGAGAGGGGAAAAAAAGAAATACCTTAAGAGGCAAGCGTCAGGTGGGCGGGGTTAGCAAGCATTGAGCGGGCGGGGCAGGCGAGCCAGTGCTGACCGGGCGACTGGGTCAGGGGCGTAGCCAGCCAGAACTTACTACTGGCGACCCATGCCAAATCCTTGCTACTGGTTTGCCCAATCCGGTGCGAACCAACTGAATACCACCACTGGTTATTATTATTCTAATTTAGAGGCGCATGGTGGCTCATGTGGTAAGACGCTGGGCCTGTGCACCACTGAGGTTGGCAGCTTGGCAGCTCAATTCTCGTGAGTGAATACATCGTGGAGGGACAAGAAAGGAGCCGCACTCGATTGTGTACTGGCATTCAGGTGTCCCATGGGTAAAGATAACACCACCCGAAAAAATTACTTTCACAGAGGCAGGCAGCCACCCCTGGTTAACACATGCCATACAATAAATAAACAATAAATAAATAAATAACTGTAACTGAGTAAAATAAAGCAAAATAAAAATACAAGTATTTTTTTCTTTGCTTTATTTTATGTATGGAGAAACTGTTGCATCTCAGAAAATGTATTGTTGTTAAGAAGAAAGGAGGTGACTGTCTATATGCCATGTCTAATATCTATATTACAAGATGGGCCATAAATAACTACAGCACTGTCTACCTCCAACAGATTGATTTTCTTCAGACATCAGTGCACCGATTTGCCATATATTAATTCAATTACTGATACCACTTGGGATATAAGTGTAAGTGGCAATTTCATGTTGAATGCATGTCATTTGAAGAACTTGATAATGGCTGTCAAAGTGCAGTACATTTTAAAATCAGAATAAAAGCGGCTTTGGAATTCAAAACAGTGATTTTCTTACCTCAGATTACATTGGACCTTATTTCTATACATGGTGCTGCCATTTATAGAGTGCAACCTTCTATCTATTGTGTTGAGTATTGATTATCATAGTGGTAGATGCCTGGTCACCTCTACGTATTTTACAGTGTAACTCTCAAAATCCGTTGCCCTTGGCTATGCTGACTGTGTCTGATGGAATTATGTATATAATCTTATTATATTATCTGACCACCAGCTCTCTGGAGTTTGACAATACAATGAATTGAATGTAGGACATTTTACATGTGAAACCTGTCTTCCAGGACTGATTTTTCTCCTCTTCCTGTTCTCCTCCTGAGTAAGATTAGGTTTTTATGAATTATAATTCCTAGGTTTTTATGAATTATAATTTATACAATCAAATTAGTTTAGTAGATGTGAAGTGTTTTACAGACAATATTTCAGTAAAGCTTGCAACATTCTTTTTAAGTAGTTCTGTAGAAGTTTAAATGTTGTCTTCCAAATTACTTTCTCTAGTTATCACTAACTTCAGAATTTAAACTGATAACAACTGGATAATGTAGGGGTGAGCAATTAATTTTCCCAGGAGGCCACATGACTGGGACTGTTGTGGAGGGCCATTGCTCCCCCACCATCCTGTCGCCTCTTGCTGCCACGGGTTGGATAGGGACAGTCAAAGAGGCAAATATGGCCTTTGGGCCATAAAATGTCCAAGTCTGGGCTAAAGACTTTGTCTGTAAGTTGCACTCTGCTATGGGGCCACCAGGGCCATTGTTAGTGGACAATCAGTAAATCAATATTATATTCTTTTTTCAGTGCTGTTCTAATTTTGGACAGTCACTAAAAGAATTGTTGTAAGTCGATGTCTACATATATTAGGTTTTTGTAGGACTGTCCTCATATGAAATTTGAATTTAGTCTCAGCCTACATTTTCTCCTTCTTTCTATTCCCCATTTAATCTTACTTTGGGGATCAATGACATATTTACATCATGCCTTTGTTTTATATCCTTACCCTTCTCATTGCTTACTAATTTTCTAGTTCTTTGTTTGCTTCTATGTGGTTGCTCATACAACATTTCACTTATTAATCTTACCTTGGACTTTTATCTATGACTCTTCAACTGTAGTTATTTCCTACTTTCAAAAACTGTGACAGCCACAATCATTCTCTTGGGTTGCCAGAGAATTAGGAAGAGAAAATTTGTGAAGCTTCTGCAGTTTTGCCTCTGTGCTTGCTTCAACAGCAAATAAAAGATTTAGTTTCCAATAATTTTAATCCTGAACTTCTCAAAGGAAATTCACACAAGTAGAAATAATGTCAAATTCAGTGAAAAGACTGGTGTGTAAAAGGAATCATGTACAGACATTCTGATAGGATCAGTTTCTTCTGAAGAACTAATTTTTCAGAAGTAGAACAAACCAAACATTAACCGACATTATGAACTAATAAAATATGTCCGATACAACACTGCCCTCTAGGGATAGGAAAGAAAATGCAACAATTTTCTCTAAACCACACACTGTACAGGTAATCCTTGATTTACAACTGTTCATTTAGGGACTGTTTGAATGTACAATAGCACTGAAAAAAGCGACTTGTGAATGTTTTTCACACTTAAAACTATTGCATGGTCACATGATCAAAATTCAGATGTTTGGCCACTGATTCATATTTATGACAGATGTCCTGAGATCACCTCATGTCATTATTTTTTGCAACCTTCTGACAAGCAAAGTCTATGAGGAAACCAGATTCATTTAACAAACTTCTTACTAACTTGACAACAGCAGTGATTCACTTAATAACTGTGGCAAATTCATTGAAATGGGGCAAAACTCACTTAACAAACTTCTCACTAGAAATTTTGGACTCAACTGTAAGTCAAGGATTACCTGTATACAGTAGAGTGGCTGCAAAAAATCAGAAGGAATCTGGTATCATATTTCTCAATTAGCAATATTTATTAAAAAGAATAAATACAACAGTCAGAAAAGATGGTCCCAGACTCCAATTCTTTTGTCATCACATATATTACTTCTTCTGACTGCTGGCTGACTGCAGTTTGATTCTCACCAACTCAAGGTTGATTCAGCCCTCCATCCTTCTGAGGTGGGTAAAATGAGGACCCAGATTGTTGGGTGCAATATGCTGACTCTGTAAACTGCTTAGAGAGGGCTGTAAAGCATTAGGAAGTGAAATATAACTCTAAGTACTATTGCTATTAATATAGCTATCTATCCCCTTACAATATAGAATAGCAGGAAATTTTTGAAGTAACTGGGCAGTGCAATTTGTTAGATAAATGTATCTAATTGAGATACATGTTTTTTCATTTGAGAAAATGAAGTGATTTTTTTTCTATAATTTTTACATTTGCTCTATTAATATTTTCCTAATCTCTTCTCTTTTCCTTTTTTATTGACTACCACTTTGCTCATTAACAGGAGCTCATAAAGGTTTTTCACATTTCTTTGTGGAAATTGTACAGGCAAATTTAAAGTTTCTTACAAAATCTGAAAGCTTAATAAGAGCAGAACAGATTTAAGTGTGTACTTCAATCTTCCAGTGAAATTGAAGCACTGTAAGAGTGTTGAATTTTGGTTACAACATATATTTAGAATAATGTGTGGTAAAAAAAAGGATCTATGGATTACTTAGCTCAATTGCTCTATTAAGAGTTGTAAATTTAATCTTATGAAGCTTCTCCTCTGGTAGTACTGATTTGCAAATTAGGGCATACAAAACCTTTGCTAGACCAATACTTGAATACAGCTCCGCTGTCTGGATATCAGGCATTAATACAATTGAGTAAGTCCAGATGTATTTTACAAGAAGAGTACTACATTCCTCTGTTCGCAACAGAATACCCTATGCCACCAGATTTGAGATTCTAGGCTTAGACAACCTTGAACTATGCCGGCTAAGATTGGACTTAAACATAGTACATAAAATTATATGTTACGATGTCTTACCAGTTAATGAATATTTCAGCTTTAAAACACAACAACACACGAGCAGACAACAGATATAAACTTAATGTAAACCACTCCAAACTTGATTGCAGGAAGTACAGTTTCAGCAACAGAGTGGTCAATGTCTGGAATTCACCACCTGATTCTATTGTCACATGCTCAAACTCCCACTCCTTTACCCTTAAACTAACCTCTGTTGACCTCACCCCATTCCTAAGAGGTCTGTAAGGGGCATGCATAAGTGCACAATCGTGCCTACCATCCCTGACCTATTTCATTTATACTTAGGTTTATTCCTATTTCTATTATATTGTAAGCATTTGATAAAATAAATAAATAAATAAAATAAAAATAAAAATCATGAACATGATTATTTTATGAAACTTTCTAAAATTCTTTTGGGCAAACAATAAGCCCAAAGAAGAACATAAAGAATATAAAAGAGCTCAGAGATTGAAATTTATTAGCAGACTGAACACAGGCTCCATCATTTTCCCAAAATAAATCTCATCTCCAATACAAAACAAATAGCATAAAACATCTTTGCTCAAGAGAGAGAGAGACAAAAAGAGAGACAGAGACACACAGGGAGGGAGGGAGAGAGAGAGAGGGAGAGAGAGTGGGAGAGAGAGAGAATTAGAGCGAACTATAATAAACCAACCTTCTTTAAGTAGTAAATCAATAACTCCTTGAAAAATACAACTTCACTGAAACC